AAAACTTTATACTTACAGCAAAAGTATTGTGAATTACTCTTATTTAAGAAAAATTCGAGTATTTATTTATTTTTCAAATTATCACACTAACACATTCTTTTATTTAAGGCAATCTTGTCTCTTTCTTTATATATATTAATATTGTAGATAGTTCTTTTCTTACTTTTTCCTGCTCAAGGATTTTTTATTTAGAAATATATTTACTACAATAAGTAGTAGACTAATATGTATATAGCTTACTTTGTTCATATATCTCATATCTTAAAAATTAATTATGTAATAATAACAAATTATGACATTAATAAAGATTATGAAACATATCTCACCTTAACATTAAAAAAAAAAAAACAATTAATTGTTAATTATAAAATATATTTATATCAAGTTTTCAAATTTATCAATTTAAAAAAAAATTTTTTTTGATATTTAATAAATCAATTAAGTATTAACAAATTATTATATAATATTTATGATAATAATATTTGAAAATAATTTTAAAATAAAAATTTTATATAAAAAAAATAACTGATTTGCATTTAAGATTGATATTAAATATTGACTAGTTTCAATTATATAATAACAAAACATATAATACTGATATTATATATATACTGTAGCTATTACTAATCTACTAATTCTTAATATATTACTAGATTTTAATAAATCAAATTTGTATAAATAATTAATTATCTTGTTTTAATTGTTGATGAATTGATATAACTATAGCAAGAAATAATATTAGACTTAATTGCTAAAAAAAAAGAAGAAAAAATAACTTGAATAACTTTGATTTTGATTTCATTGCAGCACATAAAGTATATGAATATTAGTATCCTATCTCTATTATAAAAAAATAGCTACGTAACTATATAAATAATCAACATGACTTTGTATATGATACTTACATCATGACTCTTTTAGATTAAACCTCAGAATCGGATTTTTAACAACCCTAATATAAATTATTATTTAATCATTTGAAAAACAGTTTGTCGGCAACACAGATCTTGCAAAAATGGTGTCTACAAATACTTCTGACATCGAAGTGGTTAGGAATTTTTTGCGCACTCCAGAAAACATAGATATTTCCGATCTAGTCAATGCTTTAGGAGTTATGAATGTTTCGCTTGAAGGTGAGTCAGGCACGTTATTGAAAAATAAATAAATACTCGAATTTTTCTTAAATAAGAGTAATTCACAATACTTTTGCTGTAAGTATAAAGTTTT